TCGACTTGAGATTTAGGGATTTGCTCCGACGAGGTTCCAGAAGCCTGCCAGTTCGCTCTCGCGGACGTTGGGTAAGTATGCGAAGTCATCTGGATGTACCCCTAGGACATTGGCGAACTGAGTCATCGTGCGCCGATGTTCGCGTCCTCCCAGCTGGAATCCCATGTAAGAGTGTTCGACTAGACTGTTGGACGGGATGTAGAGGTGGAATGTAGCAGCAAATTCCGATGTAAGTAGCTTATTCGTCGGCTCTCTCCTTGTCATGAACCTTCGTAAGTCGAGATTTTCGCGCAATGTTTGAGCTATGTCGAAAAATCCGAGGTTGTCGATCATGTCTGTCGCGTATTTGGTGAGTCGAATCCTCTCCTTAAAACTTGCGAAGCGTTTTTGCGCCCTTCGGCCTCGTACAGTAATGATTGGTGCACCCGGAAATTCCATGCGGTATCCGCGGGTGCGTACTGGTTTAGCATAGGCCGTGCGCGGTGTGAGCTCGGTGTTGGCGTTGGCGCCCGATTCGAATGCTGTGAATTTCAGGATTTTGTCCTTGATCCTACCGTCGTACGCACGTTTGCCCTTATGAGTGACCATCTAAAAGCATGTGACAAACGAGATTAGGCATAAAAAATCGGGTATGCAGGGAAGTAACTCGGACTACTCCTGGAACACGTGCGGTCCGAGTCACTTATGCGATCCCAAATCGCAGATGTCTGGAAACTGACACGGTCTGCGTCACATGTGACACGGTCCGCGTCAATTTCCAGAATTGCGATGATGAACAGGCTTATGCAAATCGCAATGGCGAGTCGAAACCTTTGAAATTTCAAGCCGGGAGAAGCGTGCCAAGCCTAGGAGCAACTATAACCAGTCATCTAGCCTCATGAATCCCCCACAAATCAACCAAAATCGAATCAAAACCACAAAAGCCCTAAAACCTGAATTCTTAATGTTCTAACCAAATTCATGGCATGAATGCATGTAATGATGCACCAAAGAGTAAGATTAGGTATAGGGACACTTATTTGTATGAAGTCGAGTCGAAAAATTGAAGAATTCAGGCCAAGTTGCAGAGAGGGCGATTTTAGGTCGGACTTGCGGCGTAGAGTAAGCGAAATAAGTCCGAATCGCGACCTAAATAGGAATTGGCGCGAACCGTGTTACATGTGACGCGGGTCGAGTCAGATTCCTGAGTCTTGATTTCTGTGCAAATGTAGCGCGGTCCGAGTTATAACGAACACGGTCCGCGTTATATCTCTGAGATATCTGCAAAATCGATGATGGATGGTGGAGCAGACCGCGTCACTTCTGGCGCGGGCCGTGTCACATCTCTGTCAAAACTCCTCAAGTTCGTGCTAGAACCTGCAAAACGCATCATAACCCGCAAGGTCCCCGAGGGGGCGACGCACACACACCAAAATCCACAGTGTCCAAAAATATTGCAGGAAAAACGAAAGAGTAAAAAATGCAAAAGAGAACAAATGTCGGGTTGCCTCCCGACAAGCACTTCTTTAGGGTCATTAGCTGGACCGTGTGAGACTTAGTTATGCAAGGGGTCGGTGAGAGCGAGGACGGCTGCCTCGTCAATCATGGCCGAGGGATTGTACAATTTGATGCGTTGGTCGTTCACCTTGAATGGGTCACCTCGAGAATTCACTAACTCAACTGCACCGTGGTCGCTTATGCGTGAGATACGGAAAGGACCCGACCATTTGGACTTCAATTTTCCTGCAAAAATACGCAATCGAGAATTATATAATAAGACCAGATCGCCTACCTTGAAGGTCTGCTGTGCAAGATGCCGGTCGTGCCACTTCTTCGTCCGCTCTTTATACATACGCGCGTTCTCGTATGCGTCATTGCGAATCTCCTCGAGATGGTGGAGCTGTAGGATGCGCTTCTCGGATGTCGTCTTCATGTCATAGTTGAGAGTTTTGATAGCCCAGAACGCTTTGAGTTCCAACTCGATCGGGAGATGACATGCTTTCCCATATACTAGCTGAAATGGCATCATACCAATTGACGTTTTAAACGCAGTCCGATATGCCCAAACTGCATCCTCGAGCTTCAGCGACCAGTCCTTGCGCGATTTAGCAACGATTTTCTCAAGAATGCACTTCACTTCATGGTTTGATATCTCGACTTGACCGCTCGTCTGAGGATGGTACGTTGTAGCGACTCAATGGTAAACTCCATACTTCTTCAAGAGGGATGCGATGGAGCGTTGACGAAATGAGAGCCTCCGTCGCTGATCACCACTCGTGGGACGCCGAATCGCGGGAAAATGACCCTCTTGAACATCCGTGCCATTGTAGAGGCATCATTCTTCGGGCAAGCGAGAACTTCAACCCACTTAGTCACGTAGTCAACTGCGACTAATATGTAGACGTTCCCACACAACGATGGAAACAGACCCATGAAGTCTATTCTCCAAACGTCAAATGGCTCGACCTCCAATATGTAGTTTTGTGGCATTTCTTGTCGCCTGGATATGTTCCCTGTCTGTTGGCACGCGTCGCAAGAAGTGATGAAATCGTGGACATCGCGGAACATTGTGGGCCAATAGAAACCAGCCCGAAGGATCTTAGTTGTCGTCCTCGGAGCAGCGTAATGGCCAGTGTAATCAGACGAGTGACATCCACTTATGATGTGAACCTCGCGGAACTAGTCACGAAACCCGACAACAATATATGAAACAAAGTAAGATCGGCCAAGATAAAGGTTTTGGTGATGGATGGAATATCGACCCACTATCTATAAAGAGATAGGAACCAATATTATAAAAGTTTAAGAACTACAAGCAAAGATTTGCAATTCTTAAAGCAAAGTTCAAAACGAACAAGTTGGAGAATAATCTCACAAGTTTCTTAATCTCAAAATGTGTCCCTAAACCAAGCATAACAATAGGTTTATATAGATAAAAGAAAACTTAGGAAATAAGAAAACAATAAAAGTGTCTTCCTTGAAATCACCCATGGTAGTTAAGTTGACTTCAAGTAACGAGACGCGTGATTTCGAGGCTTGTAAATGAAGTCAATCTTTTGTAATCACCAACATCATCCTCGACTCTCGTATGTTGACTCTCGAAATACGCTCTTTGCTTTGACTGATCGCCCATAAATTCTGCAATGTTTTCCCGAAGTTCTTGGCTCGTGCTCCCGAGATCGGCTCAATCGGAACGTAAAGCTCATCCTCATGCTCGTTATTGGAATTTGTCCTTGAGCTCGTATCATCCTCCCCTTCTTCAAAAAGATTCGTCCTCGAATCTACATCAATATCAAAAGGAGAAAGATCAGAAACATTGAATGTCGAACTCACTTCATACTTACTTGGCAAGTCGAGCTTATATGCATTGTCATTAATTTTCTCCAAGACTTGAAATGGTCCATCCCCACATGGACTCAGCTTCGACTTTCGTTGGGTTGGAAACCTCTCCTTTCGAAAATGAACCCAAACCCAATCTCCTGGTTCAAAGGTGACGTGTTTCCTCCCTTTATTAGCTCGATTTGCAGTTTGCTCGTTCTTTTGTAGAATGTGTTGCCTCACGTCTTCATGAATTTTTTTCACCAAATCTGCTTTACGCTTTCCATCAAGGCTTACAATCTCACCAATAGGTAATGGAACCAAGTCCAACGGGGTTAGTGGATTAAAGCCATAAACGACCTCAAATGGAGAAAAACTTAGTAGAAGAATGCACAACTCTGTTATATGCAAATTCAATGAACGGAATGCAATCCTCCCAGGATTTCAAATTTTTCTTAAGGATTGCACGCGTTCCCAAGGTTCGATTTACAACCTCTGTTTGTCCGTCAGTTTGTGGATGACAAGTAGTGGAAAATAATAATTTCGTTCCCAACTTACCCCACAAAATACGCCAAAAGTGACTGAGGAACTTGACATCACGATCACTCACAATGGTCCTAGGAATGTCGTGCAAACGCACCACCTCTTTAAAGAAGAGGTTAGCCACATGAGTTGCATCATCCGTCTTTTTACAAGGAACAAAATGAGCCATTTTTGAAAATCGATCCACGACCACAAAGATTGAATCCTTACCGGTTCTAGTCCTAGGCAATCCCAACACAAAATCCATTGATACGTCGGTCCATGGATGACTAGGAACAGGCAATGGCATGTAAAGTCCATGTGGTTGGATTTTAGATTTAGCTTTCTTACACGTCATGCATCGTGAACAAATTTTCTTGACATCACGTTTCATATGAGGCCAAAAGAAATGTTCTTTCAAAACATCTAATGTCTTGGCAACTCCAAAATGCCCCATCAACCCTCCCCCATGAGCTTCACCAACAAACAACTCTCTTATGGAACTTTGTGGAATGCAAAGCTTATTTTCACGAAACAAAAAGCCATCATGTCGATAAAACTTTTCAAATGCTTTCTTTTCACATGCAACAAATATTTTGTCAAAGTCATGATCATGCAAGTATAACTCTTTCAAGAATTCAAAACCTAAAAGTTTGGCATCAAGAGTTGAGATAAGAGTATACCTACGCGATAATGCGTCAGCCACAACATTTTCCTTGCCTTGCTTGTATTGGATCGCATAAGGAAACATCTCGATGAACTCGATCCAACGTGTATGTCTTCGATTCAGCTTGTTTTGTGTCTTTAAATGCTTCAGAGACTCATGATCGGTGTGGGCTATGAATTCTTTAGACCACAAGTAGTGTTGCCATGTCTCAAAAGCTCTCACCAATGCATAGAGTTCTTTATCGTACGTGGAGTAATTCAAAGTTGCGCCGCTGAGTTTCTTGCTAAAGTAAGCAATAGGCTTTTTCTCCTGCATAAGAACTGCACCGATACCAATTCCAGAAGCATCACATTCGATTTCAAATGTTTTTGAAAAATCCGGTAAAACCAATAAAGGAGTAGAACTTAGCTTTTCTTTCAGAGTGTTGAATGTGTTCTCTTGCTCCTTTTTCCACTTAAATCCCACATCTTTCTTGATGATCTCAGTTAAAGGAGCAGCGAAGTACTAAAATTCCTCACAAATCGACGATAAAATCCTGAAAGTCCATGAAAACTACGAACCTCCGATACGGTTGTAGGTGTGGGCCAATCTCGGATGGCCTTTACCTTTTCACCATCCACTTCTACTCCCTTAGAACTGACAACAAAACCAAGAAACACAACGCTATCCAAGAAAAAGTTGCACTTCTTAAGGTTAGCATATAATTTCTCTTGTCTCAGCACTTCAAGAACACATCTTAAGTGACTCAAATGATCATGCTCACTTCTGCTATAGATCAGAATGTCATCAAAGTATACAACAACAAATTTTCCAATGAAAGCACGCAAGACATGGTTCATAAGGTGCATAAAAGTGCTAGGTGCATTCGATAAACCAAATGGCATTACTAACCATTCATACAATCCACCTTTGGTTTTAAATGTCGTTTTCCATTTGTCACCTTCTTTCATGCGAATTTGATGGTACCTACTTTTCAAATCAATCTTAGAAAATATTGTTGAACCATGCAATTCATCAAGCATGTCATCTAAACGAGGAATAGAGTAACGATAGTTTATCGTTATCTTATTCACAGCCCTACAATCAACACATAGTCTCCAAGTACCATCTTTCTTAGGTACTAACAATACGGGCACAGCACATGGACTCATACTTTCTCGAATATAACCTTTGTTGAGTAACTCACCGATTTGCTTTTGCAACTCATTGAATTCTTTCGGATTGCTCCTATATGCTGGTCGATTCGGGATTGGTGTTCCTGGTATGAAATCAATCTGATGCTCAATCCCTCGTATTGGTGGTAATCCTGGTGGCATCTCTTCGGGAAACACGTCATTAAATTCCTGTAAAAGAGAAATCACAACACTAGGCAAAGTCGAGTTAAAGTTAGAAAGATAGGCCTCCTTGTATAAGAACAATATCATTGGCCTTGGACTGAGCTCCTCTCTCACAAGAAAATTATTTTTCTTCCCCTCTTTTTTTTCTTTCGCTGAACTCTCATTCTTTTCTTTTTCTTGACTCACTTTTTCCTCATTCTTTTCTTTTTCTAGTCTCTCTTTTCTCTCATTCTCTTCTTTTTCTTGACCCTTTTTTTCCTCATTTTTTTTCATTTTTTTTTGAATTCTCCACACTCGACTTCTTAATTTGAAGCTGCTCATGGAACACTTGGTGGGGTGATAGGGGGTGCAAGTATCACATTTCGATCATCCTTGATGAAGCTGTATCGGTTTAGGTATCCATCATGGGTAGTCCTTCGATCAAATTGCCATGGCCTTCCCAACAACAAATGATAGCATGCATAGGCACGACATCACACATAACTTCATCAGAGTATCGCCCAATAGAAAATGAGACTAATACCTGTCTGGTTACTTTCAAGTCACCACTTTCATTCAACCACTGAAGTCGGTATGGCCTCGGATGCTTTTTGGTGCGCAAACCAAGCTTTTGCACCATCAAAGAACTAGCCACATTCACACAACTTCCTCCATCTATAATCAATCCACATACCCGATCTTTCACATGACATCGAGTATAAAAGATATTCTCCCTTTGTAGTTCATCCCCATCCTCCTTAGCTTGCACATGTAAAGCTCTCAAAACAATAAGGGCTTGCCCCGTGACAGCATGTTCTACCTCATCAACATCTTCAAGTGATGGCATGGAGTCGTTGTCTTCTTCTGCATCAGTTTCAATATCCCCATTCTCTAACATAATCATAGTTCTCTTGTTGGGACACTGAGAAGCAATATGACCTACTCCCAAACATCGATAACATTTAATTTCACGATTTTTTTATGGTAAGAAATATGAATTACCCTTCTCTGTCGAGTCAAACGATGATTTGGCAGCGACTTTGTCTCCTCTTGCTTTAAAAGGTGATTTCTCATCGTGCTTTGACCTTGAGTTCCATCTTGAACTATTCCCCTCGAGTTTAGTATTCCACCTCGAACTCGAGCTAGTCCCTTCAAATCGTGAAGATGTCCGACCCCTTTTGAGTTGTCTTTCTATTTTCATTGCCATATGCACCACTTCCTCGAGCTCTACGTAATGGTGTAACTCCACTACATTTCTAATCTCTCGATTAAGGCCATTGACGAATCGAGCCATGGTTGCCTCTCGGTCCTCTTCGATGTTAGCACGGATCATAGCGATCTCCATCTCTTTATGATACTCCTCAACTGTCTTATTTCCCTGTTTAAGACTTTGCAACCGCAAGTGTAAATCCCGATAATAATGAGAAGGCACAAACCTTCTACACAAGGTTAGTTGATCCCACCAAACAATAGCATAATCTGTAAATGCTACAGCAGCAAGTTTTACCTTCTTCTCTTCAGAATAGTTATGACAATCGAAGACTAACTCCACCCTTCTTTCCCACTCAATGTAGACATCAGGGTCATTTTTACCTTGGAAAGGCGGGATAGATAGTTTGATGGACCCCAAATTTCGATCTACACCGTTCCTTTCACGATGTTCTCTTCGGACTTGTCGTGGCACCTCATCCCTTCCTCCACGATTTCTCGGTATAGTGACCAAGGAAACCGCATCTCCATCATTATCATGAGACTCCTCATAATATTCCGCTGCAGGGTCTAGCAAAGGTGCACGTTGTCGTTGATTGTTTCTCCTCGGTCGCAGATCACGAACTTGATGGAGTCGATCCATTCGATCTTCATTTATTTCGAGTCGATCTCGAAATTCATTGAGTAACACATTTAGTCGTTCGAAATTTTGCTGCATCGCTTGGATGATTTCGTTGTCAACTGCTCCTCTATCGTTTCGATTGCCACCTGCATTATCTTCTTGAGACATCATGCAAAATGCCTCACTCACTCCCTCACGTGTTTTCCCTCGATCAATTAACACTCAACACTCGTGTTTCACTCAATATTGGCTTTTACCCTCTGATATTCTCACCACTCTTGCATTTTTCCTCTCGTAAAATTCTTCTCAAAGTTCGTGAAGAACTAAACAAAAAGAAATTGCAAAAGACAATACTTGGAAGTCCCCAAACAATTATAATAAAAGTTTGGATCAATAGTGACAAGAAAGAGAAAGGAAAATAACAAAGAGTTTACGAAATGATGAATGTGGATGTGATGGAAACAGAAAGAAGAAACGACGAGTATAGATACGATAGAAACGTATGAAGGAACGAAGAATAAGGAAAAAAAAGATGATGATTGTGTGAGTAAAACCTTCGTGAGAGGAATAAAACTAAACAAGGAATAACAAAAATTCCGAAATGTCGAGTTTTTTTTTTTGAAATAAAACTGGTTCCTTTTCAATTTTTTTTTTTTGCTTTTTTTTTTCTTCCTTTTTTTTTCTTTTTTTTTTTAAATTGCAGGAACTTTTTTTTTTTTTTACAAATAGATGATTTGAATTTAGGAAAAAAAAAATAAGTAGAAGTATAAAGATAGATAGAACCTCGATCTGGAACCTGTGCTCTGATACCAAATGATGTGAACCTCGCGGAACTAGTCACGAAACCCGACAACAATATATGAAACAAAGTAAGATCG